TATGTGTGTGTGTGTGCGTGTGTGTGTGTATTGTGGACACGTGGGGACGTCGGGATGGGGGCTATAGGAGCAAGCATGTGTGATTATCCACTGTGTGTTGTTTGGTGTTTATTATGGGTTCCATGTACACTCGTCACAATCTTCAACAGGCACCTAACATCCACCTCTACTCCTCTATTGCAACAAGATTTGCAGACTCTATCGCTGACTCAAAGAAGGCCATCTCCAGAACCAGACCTTATGGTGTCTCCTCGGGCGGCCCCAACCGCACTGGTTTTTCCCCTAAACGGACAAAGGAATGTGGCTAGTGGTGTGGACAAGGCTGGAGGAGCAGTGCATTCGACAGCCGCGAGCTCTGCTGCGCCCAGTCCAGTGGGTATGCGAGTAGAACGAATGGGACCAGTTGACATGTGGAGTATGCATTGTTGATGTGTGGCATACATACTTTTTATGAGAGGGGTGCGTAGTATTGGGATGTGGTCTGCGTACTCTTGGCGGGGGGTTTGTGTGGGGGGGGGGTTGTTACGTATTGCTCATGTGCCGGCTTACACAGATCGATAGTATGTCAGGGATTTCTACTTTCGCAGTCCTGCCCTGAAGTTGACAGCACCTATCGAGGGCGCCAGTGTACAATTGACTATCAATTTTGTTGACTGACACGAAGCACATAGTTTGGTTCGAATCAAGCGCACAAGCATGTGACTGAGTGCCCGCAAAAGCAGAATGGTCAGCCTCGGCGAATCTAACAACTGTACTGTTGTACCAGTCGAATAAACGTATGGCAACCACGCACAGCTTTGTATACCCCTACCCACACAAGACATCCCACGGTCCGCACTCCTGACCATGTGATGTGTGTGCTGAAGTGTAGGTAGTCGATATAGCTTGTTCTTGAATCATTCGCCTGTCAGAGCGTCATAAACCTAGTGCATCGTACGATCAAGTTTGTGCTATCCAACAAACCGACTTTTTTTCACATGGGAGGGTTGTAATCCCTCAGACGCCTAATTGCGATTGTGTGTCTGTGCCTGTCACAGCACTCGGATTGAATTCGGGGTCACGACACTCTGGCAGTGCTATGGGTGATAGAGGCTCCCCGGAATATCAGAATAAACGAGGCCCGTCATTCTCTGCGCCGAGTGTAAGCAACGACCGCAACGCAGCTGCCTCAGGTATGGTGCCGTGCTATCACGAGTGGTTAGTGCTGTGGGCTGATATATGTTGTATATACACAAGACCGCCGCCCGATGCACTAGACCTGGGTTGCAGGGACCCTCACTATGTGATAGGGGACAAGGGCAGTTATCTATATATGTGACTTGTGGTAGTATGTAGTTTGTGGGTTAGCGCGGGTGGTGGCTGGGTGTGTTCTCCGTAGCCCATACTTGTGCTTTGCTGCTGCCTGAGTGCGACGGGGTGGTCGCAGGAGTGGACGCCGCTTTGGTATCGTATTGGAAGTGGTTGCCACTCTTAGGTTGTCGGTATGATCAACGTCCTGTTGTATGTGCTTGTACGTGGGCTGCTACTGCATGTACGATCGTGTAGACACAATCATGTGCATTGGGGATATATATTGTGGTGTGGGGTCCTTGGCTTTATGCAAGATGGTTGTGGCAGCATCAGGGCTGCGTCAGAATAGCAGGTGATATTGAGAGTTGGCTTCTTCAGACACGGTCGCGTAGCCGCCTTCAGTGATATCCATTAGTGATTGGTGGTGTTAAGCTTTTGTTCCTCCATGTGCGGCGGTTGAGTCGTAACCCACCACCTGGTACTGCGTATCAAATGGTGCATCGGCAGAGACTTAGCGTATGTTGGTCGAGATATTACCAGCTTATAGGCTCTGATGTAGACACATCCAGCGGAAGACCCGTCCTGGGGTTGGCGGTGTAGTTCCAAGTATCTTGTCTGTGGTATCACAAGTACTTTGATTAGCCATACCGTACCCATCGGCTCACATTAACCTTCTAGTCACCTACTAACGCGCACATGGCAAGACTGAGCACTTTCACGCGGCTAGGAGGGTGTGTGTGCCCAGTGTGTGTTGTGATGTGGTGTAGATCCATTCTACAGTTCTCGATTGTATAGCATAGGGTACTCAACTGCAATTTCTTGCCTGACGCAAAGCACCTCAAAGTATATCTTATGACCGAACCAGCACTGCCAACATGGATTTCTGTTGTACAAACTCTTTGTACGCCTCGTCCCGCAGTACTTATGTAACATTATTAGTTTTCGTACCCCTGTGTATGGCGTCCCGTGTCTCCGTATACAGATTGAATCCGTCGCTGTATACGTGTTATATACAATATAATATAATCTGGCAAGAAGAAGAAAAATGGCGTGTTTTTGTGCATCACGTTACTCACATTCGTGAACACGAGGTTGTACGCATACCGTCACTTTCACTGCATGAAGAGTGTGTTGTTCAAGGCCAGGGCTCGCACACACATACTTACTCCACACTCCAATCAGCCGCACCGCCAGCAACCAAACTGGCCAACGGACAGCACCCACGCCAGCAAGCTGTGTCGCAACAGTCCAGCCGCGAAAGCATGTGCAACCCTAGCAGGCAGCCCACATTCAGCAGGCAGAGCACCGCCAACCGCAGTCAGACGAGAGTTGGCGAGCAAACCAACACGCGGGACGCCAGGGGGGATAGGCTGGTAGACGGCGGCCAAGACTCTGTGGTTGGGGGGAGCTCTATTGCGGAGAATAGGAGCGCCCGCAGTGGGGGTAGTAACGAGGATATGGCCCCACACGGGAACCACGAACGACAGCGTGAGCGCCCAGGCACGCGGGAAGGTGGCTCAGACCTGCGCGAACGCGGCCAACGAGGCAGCGCAAACGGCACGCGCGATGGGGAGAGTGTGGACGGGCGTGGGCGTATGGCGCACCACGACGGCTCAGTGGGGAATCAGAGTGGCAATCTGTTCAATCTGTTCGGTAAGGCTGCAGGACAGGTGCAGGTGAAGGTGAGGTCTTCACCACCACCCGCGCAGAGTCTGCCGATTTCACAACCAGCGCAAGTGCAGTGGGGTATGTGAGCTTCATGCCAGTGTTGAACATGTGTATATATCGTTTGTGGTATAATGTGTGAATATATGTATATAACTTGGGCGAGTATGACCAGAGTTTTCGGAAGTTTGCGAGTGTTTATAGCATACGGTACAGTTGTGCGCTACCTTGTATTTCTGGGATTTGCAAACACATAGAAGAGTGTGCAAATCGCCTATTGGAGCACATATTAATATCTAGCTCAATCCGTAGTACTTCAATTCACAAATGGCAGGTGGTGAAAAGATGGGAAACCGTGTGATCCCACAACCACCTCCAGCTGCGTACAATATTAACGACCCCCGACTGAGACAGCGCACCAGACATCCGGGGGACGCACAATACAATGAATGTGAGTACAGTGGTACAATGTTTCTATTCGAGATAAAATTCGTATATATATACGAGATGATGCGACTGTTTGTATATCTACACTTACTTGCGTATGAGTGCTTGCATTGATTTGTTACAGAATACTACACAGTTTATGCAATCTTGACGAATATCTGAAGTTATGTGTGTGTGTTTGCGCACTTGTTTTGATGTATTTCTCCGTCTAGGGTTTGTTTGCACCTGTGTGTATTCTCACATACATTCATGTACATGTATATATATATATATTTATATATCCGCTGCGGCGTTCAGCGTAGCGGAGTATTCATTGCACACTATAGAAGCACATGCACATATTGAGCTGTGTATGTGGGCGCCTTTCTGTGCGAAACAAATAGATACGGTCTGATTAAACGTGGTGACCGCTTCCGGCCTGCAGTACTTGAGTTTGCAGATGAGATCAAATGCTTAGGTGCGGCGTGGTGTAATGGTTGCACTCGGCCACTCATGCGTACTTGGGTTGTATATCTGCTGTGCATTATATCGTATTTATATTTTATTCGCACACGTACAAACACAAAAACAAGCACACCAATTGCGGTATATACCGATTCATACGCCACTGCAATACCGTCCTTGAGATTTGACTAGTGCTTAAGTGCTGTAAAAATGCGTATCCAATTACATTTACTTAATAAGCATGTACTTATACTCAAGTACATAGCCTTCTAAATTTTACAATTTAGAAGGCTATGTCAAGTGCCTGTTTTATCCGCGGTACGAAGCGGCCGCTCCGGTTTCCTGGGCTGTTGTGCTTTTGGCGGGGGTTGGCTCCACTCTCAATGTTTTGATGCGCGTATATCAATGCGTCCAATCGAATCCCAACAGGCCCGGCACAGACTGGTGTTCACTTGTTTTCTCATGACGCTACTCGCGTACATTCTGTAGTGCACATCGCTTCTATCGTTTCCTTTAACACTTACCGACCACCCGGCCTGCAGCGCATCAAAGTACAATTAACGGCAATGGGACCATCAACGATGACAAGACCATCAACGACGACGAGTCTACGTTGCCTACTAGCATACCACAGTATCCGCAGGTAGGGTGGTTGCGGTCTGTAAGGATTCATTCGAACATAATTTGACTATCCTGTGAATGCATTGTGTACACGTGTGGTGCATACGTATGGGGGCCATTGTTCTCGTCGCATACAATACGAGTGCGTAAGCTTGTATATGACCGAGTGTGCCTTCTGCCTGCAGACTTGTGTACCGAAGTACGGTGCGACCTACAGAGTGAACATTTCCACCCCTGAAACTGCTACGCTGCATGCGTGTATACGTATCTTCATGTTGCGCCCGAGGTTCAGCATTGTTGATATCTACACACTCGGGTCTGTATTTATTAGAAACCTCTGACTACTTAACGTATTCTCTCACTCTCACCGGACACCGTGAAGGGTCAGAACCGGCGACAAGACATGAGCAACGAGGACAACGACCCGCGAGTCAACAGTGCGTACGTACTCAAATCCCAGGACAGGCATGTGGATGTCGTGCATGGTAGGGATAGGCCCAACGAGCGAGACCCCCCCAGCATGGGCACAAGAGGTCGCGAGGCCATGCGGCGCCGAGTGAGCCACGGGAGCCAAAGCCACTTACAACCAAATAATAATGGCCTGGATGTGGAGCCCGGTCAGAACCTGAACCCGAACCAAAACCTGAACCAAAACCTGAACCAAAAACCAAAAACCAAAAACCAAAAACCAAAAACCAAAAACCAAAAACCAAAAACCAAAAACCAAAATCAAAATCAAAACCAAAATCAAAACCAAAACCAAAACCAAAAATCAAAATCCGAACCAGAAACAAAACCCGGGCATGCACAAGAACCTGAACCTCAACGCCCACAGCCGCCGGGAGAGTGTCGGTAGCCTCCAGCAGCGTGAACGGGAGGGTATGAGTGGGGCTGGTGGTGTAGGAATGCGCGGCCGAGACATGCCTTGGAGAGGCGAGCTACGCGGCGACGGCACGCACGACAAGAACATGACTCACGAACGGGAGAGAGGCAGAGACCACGACCGCGAACGCGATGGCAAGGACGATCTGGCGGTGCAGCAGCAGAGCCAGTACAAGCGACAGCGCCGATCACCCAACCAGGCGCACAATATACGGTCTAACGGTCCGCAGGGAGTGGACTGGAACGGAGACCATAGAGACGCGGAAGGTATGCAGTGACAGGGGGGGGGTGAGTGGTGGGGGTGTGATGCACACGCCCGTGGATAGGGAATGCGAAGTTCTGGGGAGATTGCGGCTGGGTGGGGTTTTTTGGTTGTGGACTGAGTATTCTTATGGTAGCTTAGTTGTGTTATGAACTGATGAGTGATTGGATGGGTGTCGTGTACGCGCGCCGTGCTCATTTGCCCATTCGATTACATATGTGCTTTTGACCATATAAAAGGCCTGCTTATAAATCTGCGTATAAATCCCATCCTTTATCAACCTGTGCATTTATACCTAATATGCCAGCCTCGCGACGCTGCTTTACCAAGCCTCTGTCGCCGCGTGTGGATCTTCATTTCGTAATATTTCGTATCGCACTGATTCTACAAACCGTTTGGTTATCAACACAAATAGTACCACATTTAAACCACGCTTGTATCCCACCCTATCAACAGGTTCTGGCCTACCCGCCAATCTGGTCAACGGCACGAGTCCAGTGCAGAATTCGCACAACTACAGCCCCAACCTTCCCTTCAATCGCGTCGCAGGGCAAAGCACTACCAACCCTAGCCATAGTGGCAGTGTGGATAGTATTAAGGTGCGTGTGGGCCAGAACGGTCTTATCAAGGACTACACGCTGGCGCTGAGGGATCTGAACTTTCTCCCGCCTAATAATAAATTAGTAGTGGCGCTGCGAGAACCCAGAGATGCCGACGGTGCCGCGAGACTCAATCGCAATCCTCTAGTGTTTCCATATGTGCTACAGTATCTGGCGACCGGCCACAAGACGCTCTCCTTACCCCCGGACGGTAAGTGATTTTTATCAGTAGTATTAAATACGACTTATATTATGTATAAATGAGATGTATATTATGAGCACGCATTTTGAAAACGTGCAAGTATATGCAAAAGTACAGATATATTTGTATGTATGTATGTATGTATGTATATATTTATATATGTATGTATGTATATATGTATGTATGTATGTATGTATGTTACACAATATGCATATGTATATTTAATTTTCGTACATATGTTTATTTATCAATTTATATTTATATCTATACATATTTATAAATATATATATATATATATATATAACATTCATTATACTATAAATTGAGTTTCTACCTAAATATCTGCGCATTCGTCCTGATTGCCTTAGTATTTCGTGCGTTACGGGAAGTCCTCCCATTTTGAAACATACGACATGATGGCAAATCATATTGGATGTATTCGTAACCCATTTTCGTATTTCCTCCTAAATCTAAATGTTTGCCTTCAAGAGTGGTTTACCAAATGGTCACTCCCCAGTATTCGAAGGCAAACATTCAGATTTAGGCGGAAATACAAAAATGAATTACGAATACATCCAATATGATTTACCATCATGTCGTATGTTTCAAAATGGGAGGACTTCCCGTAACGCACGAAATACTAAGACAATCAGGCCGAATGCGCAGTTATTCAGGTAGAAATTCAATTTATAGTATATAACTGATATATATATATATATATATACATCTATATTCATTTTCAAATTTAAATATATATATATATGTATATGTATATGTAAATATATATATATATATATATATATTGTATATATATATATCTATATTCTATTTCTATATTTAATATATATATATATATATATATATATATATATATATATATATATATATATATATATATATATATATATATATATATATATATATAATATATATATA